ATCATTTCATAAAAAATTCATAAACAATTCTTAAAATAGAATTGTCACACATTTATGATCTCTATACCATCGCTTTTGTTTGAAAAGTTCAATAAGTATTTTTGAAAAATTAATTTTATTTTATAGCAATTGATATATTTCTATCAATTTCTTTTATATTTTTATTAATATACATTTATCTATAATTAAATTTTTTTTTAAAACCTTAACTTAATCACTATGTGATAAAATATTTGTCTCTACTTTGTCTTTTATTAGTTATTTTTTTATTTAATTTCGTAAAATATAAATTTAAAAGATTTAAAAGTGGAACATCTGTAATAATAAAATATCTTTATATGTCATGCAGTGCATTGTTTTCAGAATATATAATATACAAGATAAGGAAGATACATATTTCTGTGAAGAAAATCTTGCAAAATGACTAATATGTTACACGGCTTTGTCACGTTCGTATTTTTAAGAATATGCATACTCTTGTCTATATAAATGAACAGAAAATTTGCTTAAGATTATAACAGTTACAGAGTGTGCAACAAAGTACATCTAATATAATAATATAAAACGAATAACACCATATAGTAGTTGCAGTAAAAAGTTGTATAGAAAATATAGCGAAGAACAAAATGTTACGTCTAAGTATTTCGATTGGATTATTTATTTTGTATGGAACTGTCTTCATAGAGGTATAAAAAAAAATTTGTAATATTTCTTATATATTAGGTATGGGAAAAAGTTCCTGGCGTTTTTCTCGTTAGATGGCATTAAAAAAATGCCACGAACTTTTTCTCACACTTTATATATATATATATATAAATCAGTAGATACTATAAATATATATAAACATATAATTATAAACATATGTTTTTCAAATAGCGTTTTTGAAAATAATTTATTTTATATTTTTATCATATACTGTAACACCATATACGCTGATAAGAATAATAAAATTTATTATTAGGTTTTTGTATTAATTATTCATAATATATATTATTTGTATTTTACTTTTCGAAAAATTAGATCATTGAACATATACTGTATCAATTTAAAAAAGATATTCATATTATATAATTAGGGAAATATAGCTTGATTATAACATAACTTACTGAATACGCATTTATGTGTATCTTCCAAATTAAAAATATCAATTTAAGCAGATAATTAATTTAGAGTTTTTCAAACATAAATTTATAATAAAACGACTTTGCATAAACTTTTATATTGTTTATTAAAAATTCTAATTTATAATTAATAAATTTGAATAATAAATTTAATTTAATTTAAGAGCGTCTTTGAAAATTATAAGATATTGTTCCTACAACGTTGGCGAAAATTAAAATTAAAAGAAAGAGAGAGAATATAATTAACAAATAATATGTATAATATTTAGCATGTAATGTCTCATGATGGATTACAACATTATGTTTCACCCGAGACTAAGCATGCTTCACGAATCCGAAGATTTGGTTTTTTCCCACAACTAGAAGAGTTACGTCAAAATTTTTGTCATTCGTCTTGCAAATCTGCAAATACCATGTCATATATATTTAATCTTCTATGTGCTGCGAAATGTCCTGAATTGTATTTACCACATCATACAACAACGGAAAGTAAGTATAATGGAAAGTAAAATCACTTGCAGTAACTACGATTTTATAATGCATAGATTGTAGATAAAAAATCAACATTTAAAAATTGTTACGAACTAGAAATGTCTATACTATTATTACTGGTCGAAGCTAAAATTTAATGTTTAAATAATTCAATATGAATT